AGGTTCTAACAAAAAATAATCTACACAAAATTTTAGTATAAAATACTCTCTAACCCTAACCCTAACTCTAACCCTAATCTCTAACTTCTAACTCTAACTTTAACCCTAATATTAAGTAGTTTTTTTAAAATTTTATATGTTACACGGATTTACAAATCAATAAATTAATACCTGTGTGTACACACTAGTGTAATTTTAGAAATTCTCTTTTTTCTTATAATTTAAAATTATAAAGTAAATATATACTGTTATAATATATTTTTATATATAAAACAAGTTTACTTAGAATATAAAAATATAATTAATTAGTAAAATATTAAGAATTATATTATTTTTTATAATTTTATTAATAAATTTATAAAAAATATTATAATTCTTAAAGTTTTACTAATTAATTATATTTTAATATTCTAAGTAAGTTTAAAATATAAAAATTGTTTTTTAATATAGTGTATAGTAAAAGAACAAAGTTTAATACATAAATTTAAAATATTCTTATAACTTGAAATAATTATACTTTTTTGCTCAATTCAATTAAAATCTTATTATGAAATGCTTTGAACTTTGCTATAAAATATTCTTCGTCTTGCTATTGTATTATCTATTAAGAAGTAAAAATATTATTTAGAATTTTTGTAGCTATATGAAAAACTTGATTATAAAGATATAAAAATATTTTTTATTATTATAATATTTAAGAATAAGATATTTATAATATTCTAATACTTCAAATATTTCTTTAGGATACTATTGCAAAAAATATTTGTTTTCATTATTAGAATTAATTCAATGCTATAGTAAATAAATATTCAAAAAAGGCTTCAGTATTTTTTAGCAAATATTATAACTACTTAAAATCTGATACAACTCTATTAAAAAAATTGTTTGAGTTATACTTATCTATCTTATCTAAAAACTATTATATTTAATTATAGTTTATACCAAAAAAATATTCTAATAAATACTCTAGCATATATAAAAAGCTACCAGTATCTGATAACAATTGATAAATCTATAATTTTAACTTTTAATTATTAGAATAGTTATAATTTATTATAAAATATCTTATTATTTAAATATATGCAACTATTGATATTAATAGATATTTAAAAAAAATACCAAAAAAATAATATGAGTTTTTAATTGTATTATACTATATAGTACTGTTTTAAATAAAATATCTGTACAAAGATATATTGTAAATTTTGATATATTATGTAATATCTAAATAGCTCTTTTGGTAGTCTTTTTGTATTTGTATTTCAACTATTAAAATTTAAATTTTTTAAAATTTATCAATATAAATAAATAAAAAAAAGCTATATATAAAAAACTTTGAATAGCTATAATTACAAAGCAATATTAAAATAATTTTTTTGTTTGAGTGCTTTGTGTTTAAACTTTCTAAATTGAATAACATATTTTTTTAATAAAAAATTTGTATAATATATATACTAAAAATTATTAATGCTAATAAATTGTAATTATATGTATTTAATATTAAATTGTTTTTAAAATTAAGATACAAATACATAAGGTGAGCTAAAAAAACTATTACTTGTTTATTTAGCTAGTTTAAATTTGTACTATTTGTCTAAGCAAGTACAAATTCATACTATATCAATCACTTCTTTTGAATTTATATAATTAGAAACTAAAAGATATAGTTAAATAGTATAAATTAATAAAAAACAGCCTTTATATACATAGTAGATGTCAAAAAATGTTTAAGATCTATCTTTTTACTTTAATAAAAAACAACACAGTTGAGTTCTTAATTTCAAAAATAATTAGTAGAAGTTAGCTCTCTAATAAATTCCTTTCTTGATTATAAAATTGTTTATAATAAAATACTTTTCACATTTCTTATTCTTGTAATTTATTATATTTTATATTATCCAACAAATGTATATGATTATAAAAAATTAGAGAAAGAAAGTGTCAATCACTTTTATAACAAATAAATTAAATTCTTGATTGAATTTTGTTATTATTATATACTACTATTGTTTGACTCTTGCATTGATCAATTAAAATTATTGAAATCTTGTGACATATGACTTCAAAATTAGAGATCTACTAAAAAGCAAGAGAAAAATAGAAGTGTTAATGCTAGAATTAAAACTCAAAAGTACTGCAACTAAAGTTATAAAGATTATAATAGTATATATAAAGATTACTGATTAAGTTCCTGATTTTTAATGCCTTGTTCATCTGTTCCTAGTTTGGTGTGATTGTATTATATATCTATTTAATTAAATATTATTATTGTAATGTTATAGCATTATAGTATCACATTATTATACTACAAAGGTACTATAGTATTATGATATTATGGCATTACGGCACATAATATTTACGGCAATTAGGTTCTGTGCTATAATTATTTTACCATATGCAATTTTTAATCGGAGAATAAATTAATACGCAATTTTTTAATCGGTGAATATAAATATGATGTAAAATTATGCGATTTAGTGCGATTTGGTTTGATCACACTTAATCACACAATTTCCGTGTCCCTGCATGTGGTTTATAGCACTTGCTTGCAATATATATTGTGAAATTTTAACATATTAATGTATTTTTATTTTTAAACTTGTGGAATAACCATATGAATAATTTGACAAGCTTAGAAATTAACAACAGAATGAATACATCGGGAATATTTTGATCTGGGATAATTTTTAAGATGCAAAAATATTAAAATACAGATATATGTAAAAATTCTGCGCAGATTTTAAAATTATCTTCAACGATCGCCGTCATTTTGAAGTTCTGCGCAGATTTGTATGAGTGTCGCCAAAAGAAAACCCGACAATTTAAATATAGATTATATTTAAATTGTCGACGACACTTATATATTTAATTTATTGAAGATCTGCGCAGCTAAGACTATATATATATATTTTTATAAGTGGATAAACATTATCTTATAGAATGTTATAATCCATCGCAATCTAGAAAATGTGTCCTTTTCTACTGGTGGTGGCGGATTACGTGGTTCGATTCGAAACACCAATGAGTCAACTTGTGGAGCAGGTTTAAAAATTATTATGAGATATTTAAAATGTTGATACAACATCAAAAGCGATCAAATTTCGTAGATCAAAATGAACCCAGATTAAAATGAAATTTGGGATCTCTATTTAACTATCAAAACGCATATTAAAATTAATATTCCATTTTAATTTAATCTGTCGCAATAAATTTAATTGTAATTAGAATTTAATTTCTACCTCCATTATGTATTCTACTTTTACGTATAACTTAGTGTTTACACATAATCGATGTAAGAACGTACGGCACATATGCCACAAATGTCTCTTAACCCACAAATATTACTTGCCCCCCTGTCCACATCTGGCGCATATGACACATCAGTCACATGTGGCACATCCGCAACCCATAACGCAGCTATTCATCAGGGGTCAAATAATGCGCGGTTAAATATCTTTATTAATGTTATAAATGAAATTTTTGCTCTCTATTTTAAACACAAATTCAACTTTCTTTATTTGTTTTTGCCTTTATAGAGATGTATCACTACTAGAAATGTCAACAATGCTCATCTAAACTTAATATTATATGTATATATTATATATAAAAATATAGACTAGCTACGTCATAGGTTTCTATTATTATTTTGAATTTAGACTAAATATGAGTGTTGCCAATGGAAAAGGGCAGTTTCTAAAAATAAAATATCGATATTATGAAAATCATACCAATTTATTTTTAGAAACTGTCCTTTTTCGATGACATTCATATGAATGCTGCCAAGAAAAAACCTACAAGTCATGATTTTTGAATATTCGCTTTTAATAAAAATATGAAATTAAACACAAGATTTTAATATTATTTGAATCGTCTCATTAAGATGATTCAAATGATATTAAAAATCTTAAGCGTTCAATTGCCTGATTTTGAGATATTTTTATTAAAAGCGAATATTCAAAAATCAATGACTTGTAGGTTTTCCCTTGGCAACACTCATGTAAAAACAAAATATGAACTAATAAACTTTATATAATTTAGATAAATTTGAGCATTATTGTTGATATTGAATTAATATTTTTATTGTATAGTTTTTTTAAAGCCAATTATTGCATTATCGTTCTCAATTCCTAAGATTTCATCAATAATATTCTAACATATGCTCAAAGTTTGTTTCTGCGACCTTTGTTTAATGCTAGTTTAGATTATGTTGATTATCAATTTTTTACCTTTCTAATATTTTGTTTGTCTTATGAATAATTAGCGCATTCGTTGGCTAAATGTGATCTCATTACGATTAGTATTCCTCTTTGCTAATGCTTAGAACAATATTTACATCTAATGAAATACTGTATTCGCCAAATACAAATATTATTTGAATAACGAACACAAATATGATCTAAATATTGAGAAAAATGAATTTTGTCCACCTCTCGAGTTACCACATCCAATTAAAAGATGGAAAATTTATTAAATGTTTGTGTATCTTGTATGTACAGAAATGTATAGAAAATACTATAAATGAACCAAATTTTGTTTATATGTTACATATTATCTGCAACTGTACGATTATCATTAATTTTTGTGCTTTCCAGAATTCTTTCTTAATTGTTCATGAAGTACATAAGATAATTTCTTTTTCTTTAGTTTATCTGTACGTACGTATATACATGCATACATTCTCTCATTTTCCTCCATGCAAAAAATTTATGGGTTTAAAATTTTTTTTCATTTTTTTCATCTTAAATTTTGCTACGATTAAGAGCTTTCCTGGGATTAATGAGAAAGAAATTCTAATCAATAATTCACCTAGGATTAATGAGAGAGAAATTATACCCAATAATTTAAATAATTCTGGAGAATGCTTTATTTCAAGAGATGTCCCATCAAATATTCCTTTAGGCTGTTATGCTTTTAATAATAGCACAATCGGCGGTTTAAATGGTCTTTCGAATTTAGGTTTTTCTAATGTTTATGAATCCCCCAATAACATCATGGATCCAGCACTATGCATCATAAGATGCACTGACTACATCTTTGATATTGCTGCCCTCAAAGACGGTAGTCAGTGTCAATGTGGCAGCGCTAGCGATTTTGCAGCATCCTATATTAAAGTAGGTGGTTCGAATTGTAATATCACTTGTGCTGGTAATTCAAGTTATTTCTGCGGTGGTGCAGAAAGCTATACAATTTATGACACAAAAGGCGGAGTTCCAGGTCATCCACAACCTACCATAAGTGCTACTGATAAAAGTTCAATAATCAAGAATCTCAATAATGACAATAGATATCAACAGTGTATCAAAGACAGCCCCTATTGCGGCCAAAGGATATTAAATGGTACATCAGAAGAACTTGCAGGAATGACAGTAGACAAATGTATTGACTTTTGTAGTCAAAACAAATTTGCATATGCAGGATTAGAAATAGGAACTCAATGTTTCTGTGCGAACAATTACGATCATATAAATCAAATAAGTTCAGATCAATGTAGTACTAGTTGTGCGGGCAACAACCAGCAAATTTGTGGGGGCCCTTTAGCTATTAGCGTATATAGTGTTCCCACAGGGAACAAACCTCCATTACAGATTATTCTTCCTTGTGTTATTGGCGGTGTTGTTATTTTATCAATAATTGTTTTGATTATTATTTTTAGAAATCGACTCAGAGCCTGTTGCTGTCGACCTCCAAAATCATCAACACCACCACCAAATGAAGGAATGCCACTACCAGAAGACTAGAGATTAAGTTAGGGAATAGTGATGGTCTGAATATTTCAGTTTCTATATCCGATAAAATACAAAAAAATTACAGTATTAATTTTCTAAAAGAAAAAAAAGAACCAAAAAAAAAACAATTCATACTATTTAATTATACTTTTTTATTTATTAGTATTATTTATTTCCTGGGGGAGTAGAAATTATAACAGAGGTTACCGATGATCATAGTACATGGATGGCCCGAAGGGCCATCCACGTACTCACAGGAAATAAATAAATAATCCCCAGGAGGGTGTCACTAGATGTTAATCGGACTACCTTACAATTTTTTTACACGTGTTCCATATTTATATTCGTACTGTGCTTTACTAACTTTTGGGCTTCGCTTTATTTATTTTTTTTTTATTTACATCATTTTTATTGGTTTACTCTTTTTATCGCCTTTGCATTTTACTTCTACGTTTAACTTTTTCAACCACTTGTTTTCACTTTGCTCTTATCGTGCCTTTTTTTAGCTTCATTTTACTGTGTATATTTACTTTGGCTTTTAAAGTTCTTTAGATAAAAACGTGAAAAATACAAAAAAGAAAAATGATTCAAATAAAAATTAAGCGTTAAAAATTAGAGTTTCCCGGTGATCAATATGAGACCGGGAACCTTCCGTGGGAAGATTCCCGGTCACAATATGATTATTATAAATATGGTTAATGACGTGTAAAAAATAATAATGAAGGTAGTCATGAGTGACACTTAGTGCGACAGGGGATTATGGAAGTAATTTAATTTGATTATTTAAAAAAAATAACTATTATTCTCTTAGTTATTTGACTGTTATTTATTTCAATTGTAAGCTTTTATTACTGTATAATATTCTTTTTATTTTTCCGTTTGTGAATGAAAGAGATAAATTTGTAGTTAAAGGTTGAGTTTTGTCACCATAAAAAATTATACTATACATAATTTGTAACAACTTATCATCTCTAATAAATAAATATTTCCCCATAATCTAAGCACATTTAGCAAATTCTTGAATTGTGATACAGTATTGTCCGTATTAACGTCAGAAATAACTATTTGATCGTAAGGATAATACCTGAGAAATTTCATGATTTTCATCTAAAATATTTTATGAATAGCAAAAATCACGTCATAAATATTGTGCGCTATTTTAGCCGTTAGAAAATTCATCTAGAGTGGTGTTTGAAGTACTCTAAATTTTTAATGTTGTATATGAGGGTGACTATCAATCAAACTATTTTAAAATGAATGTTATAATCTAAATAGAAGTATTTGGACACTATTTTCATTTTATTTATCTTGCTTTGATATTCATATTAACATGGTTTTCACTTATTCTTAAATTTTGAAAAATAAATTAGGTGCGAAATATTTCTGCAGTGATTGTGCTAATTACAATAAGTTTTGAATATTTTATGTTTTTGGTTTGTCAAATGTTCGTACCATTTCTTTTTTAATATTACAATTATATGAATTTGTAACAAAGATTAATAAAAAAAAATACCATTTTCTCCAAGATTTTATTAAATAAAATTTAATAACAATTTTAAATTAAAGATCATTAATAATTAATTTTCCCAGCTCAAAGAACGTCATCATTTTGCCAGTAATTAGCAGAAACCATTTTGATATGCATATCTGGCCAATTTTGAGCAGAAAATTACAATATGTGATAGCAATTTGACCCAATCAACTTTAAATAACAACCTTTTAGATGTTTCTTATTGACTTAATATGTTACAAAAAAAATAAGCACTATAAAATAAGTTGTTTTTCTTCTAAGGATGTTATGGTTCGGTCTTAGTCTAAAAGATTAAGTTCAAGTAGCAGATCGTGGACCAGACTAAGGTTCATAAACTGGTCCACTAAACAGGTCTAATTCAGGACCACTTCCAACCAGTAGGAATACAATGATTTAGAAAATTCTAAACCTGCTAGTGAACTAATTATTTCTGTTAACAAACTTGGGCTTTAGTTCTATTAACTTAACCGATACAATTTAAAAGAAAATGTGTAAAGAATAAACTAAAATTATTTCTTTCGAAAAGATCTGATCTAGTGATTGGATCTGAAACGAAACTTACCCGAAACTGGTCTAATTCTGAAACCCTTTCGATTTTAGAAAAAAATCCGAAACCCCGAAACTATAATCCGAAACCTTTGGCCAAACAAAATGCAGGATCAGGTGAACGTAAAAATCAACTTTTTTAAAAAAATCGCTTCTAATTTAAAATTTATGAAACTTTCTTTTTTTATCATAACAAAAGAATTCCTTAAATTTTGGGTTGGGGTCTTCTAGCTATTGCCCTGGCCAAATCCTAAACTAACTCTAACCCAACCGCTGTTTGTTTTGTTTTGATTAATGTGAAATCAAAACCAATCAAATTATTGGTTAAACCTATATCATCGAAATGATTGTGCTATTTTATTTGGATCATCTTCATTTTCATCTTCTGAATAAAATCATTTAACCCATATCTAAATCTTCAAACTTTTACAATTTGATTATTATCTGTATTTTAAAAAGCACTTTTCTAAATCATTTCTGATAAATTTTCTCATACATTCCATCATAAATGGTGCAAAGTACATTAATTAAAACCAAATTACTATACAGAATAAATTTTAATAGTTTAGGGGTTTGAAAAAGTTTCAGATGGGGTTTAGGAGGTTTCAGTTAGAGTTTCAGAGCTTCGGGTAGGTTTCGGATAAGGTTTAGGTTTCGAGATTTCGGATGAGGTTTCGAGGTTCAGAACCTATAATTCGAAACCCGAAACTTTCGGATTTGGCCAAAAAGGTTTTGGGTCCCATCTCTAATCTGATCACATTTTAGTAAATCTTTTGATACGATTTAAGATAGTACAACCAGGGTGATAAGAGCATATCCATAAAAATCCCATCTGCCTTTAAATTTCATAACTATAATTAACGTAGTTCTAGCAATCCATGATTCAATTTCGACAGCAAGTTTTATTGATTATTCATAAGAATTTCTTCTCACAATTAGAAAGTCATTACGATATAAATGTTATCATATATAAATAACAGATTAATTGATTACATATGATATATTTGATATGCTTTTTATGGACTGACATTTAGATCGATCTTAAATTATGGATCGGAGATCCACTTGAATCAGTTCGGACTAGGTCAGACTGTGACCTTTGCCAGACTGTAACATTTATACTTTTTTCTAATTAGTCAATCGCTTACGGTTGATATAGAATGATAAAATTAAGGCTAACTTATCCTCAAAGTACAAACAATATTATGCAAAAAAAATTGCAAATTCCTATATAACTAAATACTTAATGAAAAGAAATTGTGGATTATATTTCTTTAAAATAGATAACCCGATTTTATAAGCCATGTACAAGATTATTTAGAACGTAAAGAATTCTTAATGTGCGAAAATGGAGCTAATTATGTAGGCTGGATTATAAGTTTTGTTAGTAAACAATATCTTGATTATTTTTAAAAATACAGTTTTAAATTATATATATAAATATAGTGGTTATAATAGATTTATAAAAATTTTTTAGTTAGTTTAATCAAAAAAAAATTAGGATTTAATTTATTAATTTAACCAATTGAAATTTATAATATAAAAATTTAAATTAAATTATTGATATTAAAAATTTTACATAATAAAAAACTTAGCAATTTATTTACTAAATTTAGTAATAAAATTTAGTTATATAATAATTTTTAATTTTTTGCTTTTTTAAAATAAATTTAATAATTTTATTGTAAATAAAATAGTTATAAAAAAATAATCATTCAAAATAATTAGTTTTATTTATAAAAATAATAAAAAATAAAATAATATAGCTTTGCAAAAAATATATTTAAACAAAAAAAAATAATTTAATACTTTAATTTAAAATAAATTATATATTCAAAAACTGTATAATCAATTTTAATATTATTTAATTTTGGAAAAATTAAATATTGTTTTTTTTATATATACTTAAGTTAGAATTTAATTAATTTTTATATAAAAAATTTTGTAATTGTTTTTAGGTATAAAACTAAAATTCAATATTTTAAAACATTAATTATAAAATGCACCTATGACGGTTTTGCTCCTATTATATGCTTTTATATATCATTCTAAGGCTTTATAAATTTTGTATATAAACTTTTTTAGCACAGATTTTTAAAGTTGGGGTTGGTATTTAGTGTTAGTATCAAGTTTAGGAAGGGTTTGGAAACGTAGAGCAAATTTACTTAGAGCATCACATATTAATAATTAGCCAGTTTTTAAGATAATACAACATAGGTGATAAAACACCATAGATGCGTTTTAGTAAAGCGTTTTAAAAATTATCCGATAAAAATAGCTAATTTTTTTTTTTTTATAAATTTATCATAAACACTAAATTTATATATGAATGCGCCAAGGGAAAACCTACAAGTTGTACTTTTTGAATATTAACTTTTAATAAAATCTTTAAAATTAGGCAATTTAGTACCTAATGTTCTTAACACTATTTGATTAAGATAATTAAAACTATATTGAAATTATAGGTATTAAATTGCCTGGTTTAAGATATTTTTTTATTAAAAGTAAAGGATGTCCTATAGAATAGGTGGGCAAACTCCGCAAACTCCACAACTCCGCTAAATATCTATTAATGATTACTAATCTTTAGCGGAGTTTATTTTTTATATTGCCCACCTTTTCTATAGAACATCTGTCATCTTCACGATACTTAATTACTTAGCAGCATAGAAATGAATTCCAGAATCTGACAATTGATATTCTCAGATTCCAACACCGGATCTGACTAGTTTCCAAGTTTACCCATTAGGGCTTTTACCGATTAAATGGCTTGGCCATTCTTTACAATCACCAAAATTTCAGGTCAGAATTCATCAGAATTGGGTTGACCTTAAGCAATACCAGTAAATTTATTTATACAGTAGCAATTTATCAAGACTACACAGACAAATGCAACCTCCCTAAATGCATAGCTATGAAAAACCTCCCTAAATGC